AAAAAAAAAAAAAGAAAATTAAAAAACACCAGCCAGTGGAAAAATTCCCATAAAGTATTGAATAAGCCACACAATAGAGTATATAGTAACCCATGTAAACTCACCAGGCAAGAGTATGCTAAACACGTGAAGGAGTGAAATTATTAGCAAAAGGACAAAAGGGCAATGAGCAAAAAGACAAACAGGCACTTCAACCTCGTTTCAATTTAAGAGTAAGCAAATCAACACCATAGACATCATTATGCACCAATAACTTGATAAAAATTAGAATGGCAGGGAGAGGAGTCAACATGGTGACTAGAAGTAGCTCTCGCCAGAGGCTGTTGTCCAGAGGGAGAGATATTGGATAGAAGTGGACTCTGTGAAGCCAAAGATGGGAAGCTGAGCACAGAAAGAGAAAGAGGTGCACATCCTCTCTGCTGAGACAAGCTGAGAGTCCAAGAAAGGAAGAAAGACAACAAAGACCAGGTACAAAGCCCATTGCCAAGAGGATGCAGACCCGCCCCCAAGGAGGTCTTCAGAGGGCTCTCTGCAATCAACACGTAACAAAGGACCTCTTTAACCCCCCGGAGAGAGCCACTAAATAAACCCTGGTCCTCCTACTCCAGGGAGGTCCCACTTTTGAGCCTCACAAAAGTGAGCAAGTATTTTCTCTGCAATTCTGAAAACACAATTCATCCTTCTCCCCTCTCCTGGCTGCCTGAAGGTCTGCCCACTGCAGAGCCCAGAGTATTTGGCAAATTTGGTGAGAGGCCCGGGCATTGTGTCGGACGCCAAACAGCAGCCTAGAATTAGTGGACTGTGTGAAAGCAGGGGGCGCAGGGAAATAAGAGCTGCACAGAGACTGTGGTCCCCATGGAATCAGTGGCATGGGCTGGAATAGTGGCAGCACTGATGCAGTGACACCCCAGTTCTGATTTGGCAGATGAACGCTGCTGATTCCTCTTCCCACTGGAGGGGACCCTGCTCCAGCCCCTCAGGATTGTGCAGACAGAGTTGCCTATGGATTTTTGCTTTCTGGCTGCCTGGTGACTCTTTGAACTCTTTCAGGTGAGCAATGTTTGTACTGCCTGGGACAAACTGATTGGAACTTTCACCCTGGGCTGTCCACCCGGGGTTGAGTGGTGGTGATATTGCAGTGGAGAGGAGCAGATTTCCCTCCTCCAGTTATCACTGGCATGGGAGCAGGGCTACCATAGGTGTTTGTATCTTTCCCCAGTTGAGATTCCAGTGTAATCTGACTCATTATTAGGACTGGGTAGAGGCAAGCTGACATCAAGAAGCTTGCATTACCTTACAAAGGCAGCCCTCAGAGTCTCCGGCTGCAGCTCTGAAAGGGTCCTTTGCAAGGCAAGATGAAAAGACATAATCACAAACCCCAGGTCATTGGTTAAGGGGTGCTTAGCTCCAGTTCCTGGGACCCCATCCAGTCTCACCCTGCCCATGTTAATTACCTAATAGTGGAAAATACTCATGAGGAGGAACCAGCAACATGAAAAGAAGAACTCTGGCAAAAAGAAAAATCAGAGCAGGTCAACTCCCAAGGAATGACAAAGGAGATACAACAGAAAAGATCATCCATAGAGAAATTGCTGAAATGTCAGAAACAGAATTCAGAATATGGATGGCAAATAAGGATGAATAGAATGGAAAAAAGATGTAAATAAAATTCCAAAAAGTAGTTCAAAAGTTGTGTCAAGAAATTGATGAATTCAAAAACAAAGTCACCAAGGATATGGAGATAATGAGAAAAGATATAGCAGAGTTTAAGGAATTGAAAAAGGCATTTGAGGAGCTTCAAAATACAGTAGAGACCCTCAGTAATAGAGTTGATCACGGAGAAGAAAGGATCTCAGACACTGAAGACAAGGCGTTTGAACTATCCCAAGCATTCAGAGGGCGAAGAAAGGAACACAACAGAATATTCCCTGAGAGACTTATGGGATCATTCCAAAAGATCAAATAACCAACTTATAGGGATTCCTGAAGGAGAAGAGGATGGTCCTAAAGGCACAGATGCTTTAGATTCTATGACATTATAGTGGAGAATTTCCCAAGCATTGCAAGAGATACAGAAATTCATCTAGTAGTTTCAGAACAGCAGCACAAGTCAACCAAATAAACCATCTCCTAGACATATTGGAATTAACTTTGCCAAGGCTAATTATGAAGAAGAAAATCCTGCAAGCAGCCAGGCATAAGAAAAGTATTACCTACAAAGGGAAAAATATCAGGATGAATGTAGAACTTTCAGCTGAAATTTTTCAAGCCAGAAAAGAATAGTCACCAATCTTCAACATTTTTTTTTTTTTTTTGAGACAGAGCCTCAAGCTGTCCCCCTGGGTAGAGTGCTGTGGCCTCACAGCTCACAGCAACCTCCAACGCCTGGGCTCAAGCAAGTCTCCTGCCTCAGCCTCCCAAGTAGCTGGGACCACAGGCGCCCGCCACAATGCCCAGCTATTTTTTGGTTGTGGCTGTCATTGTTGTCTTGGCGGGCCTGGGTTGGATTCGAACACACCACCTTAGTGTATGTGGCTGGCGCCTTAGCCACTTGAGCCACAGGCGCCAAGCCAACCTTCAACATTTTAAAACAAAATAACTTGCAGCTCAGGATCCTGTATCAGGGAATACAGCAGTGTCTCGGGATACAAAATCAATACCTACAAATCAGTAGCTTTTATATACTAACAATAGTCAAGCTAGTTCAAATCTTAGGTGCCCCCTAGCTGGGTTCACAAAAATAAAACAAGTTCAAATTTATTCTGCCTCTGGGTTTACTGCAGTTACCACCATTTGCTAGTATACACCTAATATGTGATAAACTATAATCATAACATTTTGTATATTCTTAGTTTAGACTAAGATAACTGATTAATTTTATAATTTATATAGAAAAAAAGAACATAAGGTTTCAACCTAAAAGTTAATATAAATTTTTTCAGGGAAACAAAGTTTTAGTAAGTCTAATAAGTAAAGGAACCAGGAATCAGATCTATTTACATCAGGCATCCTCAAACTACAGCCTGCAGGCCACATGCAGCCCACCTAGGACATTTATCCGGCCCGCTGGGTGTTTTTGCTGCGGCTGCCTGTCCTGCTTAGCAGCTGACTTGTCCCGGGGCCTGCAGTCCAGCCCTCCAACAGTCTGAGGGACAGTGAACTGGCCCCGTTTAAAAAGTTTGAGAACCCCTGATCTACACTATAGCTTCCTTTTCCTCCCTCTCGTTTTATCTTTTATCATCTAGAAGAAGGTTAAGTCACCAATAAGTCCACAAAGTTAGATATTCATTTTCAAAATAGAATTTATTTCAGTAGTTAAGAATTAAAATATGCCTGTGAAAGTAGAAATATAGAAAAATATTTAAAATGTGCAACAGTAATTCTTAAAGTTAGTTAAGCACTAGAGTTTATGCTCAACTTCTACTTGAAACACGAACCAGCACTTTATATATTACTAACTACACTGGAAAAAACACATACTGGCAATTTCAATTAATCATTATCATTCAAAAACAGGTTTGTATAACTGATCAGGCCCTTTTGAAAATGTAAGTCAAATCTTGGGGATGCATTCTTTGAAGTTAGCCTCACTCGACAAACTCATAAATCTATCACCCAAAAGTCACAAAGCCCTTACTAATCCATCCTTACAATTAGATCAACATGGAGGATGTATGTACTTTTTGGATTTAAAAAAATGAGATATTACATTGGTATATAAGCTGGTAAAGTCCCCTGAAACTCTGTTTCCACCAGATGAGTTTCAAATCCAGTCACCAAACACAGATGAAGAACTATCGAATGAATTCTATCCATCTTGTCCCTAAAGTTACTTACAATTAAAATAGGTATTGTTTGTATGTAGAACATACAAAAAGAATTAGAAGGTGTTTGGATAAAGAGGGTAGTGAACTCTCCAGGAACCATCATTTGCAGTTTGCAGAATAAGATAATCTTCTCTAGGAAGAATAATGCCAAATAGCAGCACTATATTCACCAGGAATCTCCCAATGGATTAATCATGTGCCGGGAATCCAGACCTTCTGACTGCTCACAACATCACTCAGCTTCCCTTTAATCTTCAGGAAGTGTCTCTTGAACTCCAATCCATCACCCTATATAATAATATCCAAAAAGAATGTCAAAGAAAAAATAATCATGTCACAAAATCAAACAAACTCTTTTTAATGGTAAATATAGACTAATACCCTTAAATATGTCTAGCTTCAATTCCCTTTAGGTTGTCTTATGAAAACCAAATAACCTGGTAGAGGAAATGGCTACATAAGTAATTTGGACTCTATTCCATGCCCTTCACTCTTCCTACCACACTGAGCTTCAAGAAGAAAATAAGGGGTGGGGGCACTTTGTGTTTCAAATGCTGGCATCTCTGGATCTAAGTCACTGTTTCCATAGGCAGGGGGAAGTCTGGAAACTAAAATCAGGGCAGCACCTGTGGTTCGAAGGAGTAGGGCGCTGGCCCCATATGCCAGAGGTGGCAGGTTCAAACCCAGCCCCGGCCAAAAACTGCAAAAAAAAAAAAAAAGAAGCTAAAAATAATCTATGCAACTACACTGAAGTCTTGTCATAATAGGATGGCAACAAAGCCAAAGGATTTAGCTATAAGAAGAGCTTCATTACACTAGGGTCTTAATAATTTAATACAATAATGCAGCAAATCTCCAATATAACAAATGTAAACTGCCCTTTCAAACTTCTTTAATGCCAAATACAATCTCTCAGAAAATAGAGACTATGCTATTTTGGTCTTATACTACATATATCGAGGGTTTTAAAACTACAACCCCAAACCAAAAATTTCTAAAGAAATAATTAAAAGTCTATGTATAAGAATATTAATTACACAATTACAGGTAAAGGTTTATTAAATTATAATGTGCAAATTTTTTATAAATCATAATTTTTATTAAAAAGGTATTATATATGAATTAAGAAAAAGATAAGAATGCTTTAAAATATTAAGGGTAATTACTGCTGGAAGGTTATTGTCACTTTTGTATTTTTTACTGATCCACATCTTCTACAAAAATCAAAAACTTTTATAATAAAGAAAAGTCTGGCTCAGCACCTGTAGCTCAGTGGCTAGGACACCAGCCACATACACCGGAACTGGCAGGTTTGAATCCAGCCCAAGCCTACCAAACTATAACCAAAAAATAGCCAGGTATTGTGGTGGGCACCTGTAGTCTCAAGTTACTTGGGAGGGTGAGGATAGAGAATTGCTTAAACCTAAGCGTTTGAGGTTGCTGTGCACTGTGAAGGCCACAGCACTCTACCAAGGACGACAGAGTGAGATTCTGTCTAAAAAAAAAAAGAAAAATTGTCATTTAAAAAAGCAATGTTGGGAGATCGGCACCTGTGGCTCAAAGGAATAGGGCACCGGCCCCATATGCCAGAGGTGGCAGGTTCAAACCCAGCCCTGGCCAAAAACTGCAAAAAAAACCAAAAAAAAGCAATGTTGGGCAGCACCCATGGCTCAGTGGGTAGGGTGCCAGCCACATACATCCAGGCTGTCCCAAAATAAATAAATTAATAAATAAATAAGCAATGTTTTAGAAAAACATAATAGATAATGACAAGTACAAATGTTTATAATATTAACTGAAAAAAGAAAGTTACTATGTATTTACAAAAGACACATACATACAAATACTCCATTTTTTAAAATTTCACATAGAAATATTTCCACAGAAATAATAAACTCCATCAAAAAGACCTTAGAAAGCCGGAAGTCAACCAATATCTTCTCATCCATTTCTACCAAATTCACTTTGAAAATGAGTTTATTGTTTCTCCTATCAGTTGTTGAGACAGTAACCTAGGGCAACAAAAACAAGGTTAAGCCTATGTGAGTAGACAACACTAAAGATTTTCAGGTCACTCCCATAACAGTAGCATTAAGTAAGCTGAAAGTCTCCCTCACTGCACGGTTTCTCTTCCTTCCAGTGGGCATATATGTGTATATGTCAATAGGTTGCACCATTACCCAGAGTCTTTGTGAGCTCTTAACAAGAAAAATTTTGTATTTTGTCAAAATGCCACTAAAACAAAGAGAATGAAAACATGGAAGGAAAAATGAGATTATTAAAACATGACAAAGAAAAGGAGATTAGTGGCTAAAAAGCTAAAACAGCAATCAGAAGATGGTGAGGGTCTTGAGAGGCCTTGCAATTTCCACTTTCAGCCTTTTACACTGTTCTTATCACATATAAAGAAGCTCAGGCTGGATGAGTGAGACGGGGAAAAGGCCCAGACAGTAACTAGTACCAAGACTCCAACCATGTGGGTGAAGATGCCATCAGCCACAATAAAGACATCACATGCTTACAGTTAGAGGAATGACTCCAAGCAAGGTCAGCAGAAGATTTGCCCTGCTAAGCCCCCAGCACAAATTACAAAATCGTTTGTAATAATTCTCATTTTAAGAAACAACTATGGCTCGGCGCCTATAGCTCAACGGGC